GGGTTGGTATGGGGCCCTGACACGGCTGGCAGAATTGGGGTGAGCAGAAAGAGAGTGTCTAGAAGCGTCTCTGCAGCAAAAGAAACAGCAAGGGTCTTTGGTACTGGGGAGGAAACCCAGGGTGTGCGTGCTGGACAAGTGCTCTGCTAGTCCCTTTTATTTTATTCTGAGACAAGGTCTTGCTATACTGCTCCTGCTGTCCTCAAACTCTCGATCCTCCTGCCTCAGCCTCCTCAGTGGCTAAGATCACCGAAGGTTTCTTTTTAATGAAAAACAAAACTGTCAAAGCAACCATGATCAGCATCCTCAACCGTCTCCATCCCAAGAGCTGGCACAGGCTCCTTAAACTAATATTTGCCTCTCAGTCCCTGACAGCCATGGCCAAGGGTAAATATTGGTTCAGCCTGAGAAGCGAAGACCAGATGGCAGTGTGGTCCTTCACAGGAGAACTCATGCTCTTTCCTGCCACCAAGCTGAGCCGCACCCGGGACGGGGCCCTGCCCCAGAGCCATGGAGACCAGGCCCAGAGCAGCCTGGCCCCTGAAGGCCACCTGAGGCCCCACAGCTGGCCATCCTCAGGGCAGGTGGGGTCTCTCCCTGGCCTGGGAACAGAACAGCAGGAGCCCCCCTGGCCGCACCATCTTGCCATGCTCTTGTCCCTGGTCAGCCTGTGAGACCTGCATCCCTGGCCTGCCTGGCTCTCGACCAGCTGGGGGTGTGCAGGCGGCCCCCACCACACCTGGCCCTGTCATCCTCTCCTGGACACTTCTCCCTGTCCCCCGCGCTGCCCACACACCCTGCACCTGGGCACACGCCTCACCTGCACAGATCACTGCCACCTTCCTGTGTCCCCTCTCCCACTGCTGCTCACCCCCACATCCCTCTTCCCTGGCCTAGGTCATGCCTCCCCTCCTCTTTCGGATCCCGACGGGAACTCGCCTGCCCCTGAGGTCCTCTGGGCTTGCGTCCCAGTGGCACTCGCACGGTCTGACTTGAGGCCACACCCAGACACAGACCTGGACTCAGGCGGCACAGAGCAACTCTATGGCACGTCCCCAGGGCAAGGACTCCTAAAGGGCGGGCTGGGTTCCTGGGTGTCCCCCTCCCTGGGCACCGCCTGGGCTAGGGGGCTGGGGGTGCTCAGGAGCACTCTGTGAGTGGGGTCCGGGCCCCCTCCCTTTGCCAGGACTATGACTGCTCTTCCTGGGTTTACATTTCTGAGAGGGGCAGGGAGACCTTGAGAAGCTGGGATAGGCGTTTATCTGTCCTAGTATTAATCACCTCATAAAACTTGTGTTTATTTAGTTGCTGGCGGGGCCCTCTTCCTGGAGGTAGGAAGCTGTTATTCCTGGAGATACCAGCCCGGGCTCGGGCCAGGGAGCTGGGAGGAAAGAGGGTGACCTGCCCCGCTCTAGCATCGTGAGGAGGTAGCCTGAAGCTGGCTGCTGGCCATGGCACAAGGCTAGGTTACAGTCGAGGCAGAGACGGACAGGACACCAGCCTGGGCCACACTCTGCCCAGGGACACAGCGCCTCCTCCACGGCCTGGTTCTGTACCTACTGTGTGCACGCCTACCAGGCACCCAGCTCCACACCTATTGTGGCACACAGGGCCGGCAAGGTACGGTGGCTTCTGTCCCAGACAGAGGCAGGAGGGGACAGGGGCCGGCCTGGCCGGGAACCCCTAAAGACCAGATACCAGTGTGGGGGACCATCACCCTAGAAAACTGACCCATCCTCAGAGCCAAGACAGAGCAGGGAGACCGCTCTTCAGAGGAAAGACTTTGCTGGGCAGGAGAACCCAGAAAAGCAAGAAGAGCCGGAGGGGTCAGGCCGCGGGAGACACAGAGGCCCTGAAAGAGGCAGATGCGGTGGCGTGGTGGGCGGGGGGCTGGGAGAAACGGCGCCAAAGTCTGTGCAGGACTGCGGTGGGCACATCTCAGAGGGCAGGGGCGGGAGGCAGAGCAGCTGGCC